AGACAGGGAAGCCTCTCAAACATTGCTGTAAACGCAAAACCCAATCGGTTAATGCCAATGCATTAATTTATCTCATACGGTTGAATTTCACTGCAGTAAAACATACCTATTACCAAGAGATGTTTTCACGTTCTTACTTATCATCCGGAATAGACAACCGCCGAGTCTTCAACAAATCTGAAGAGTATAGAACGTGAAACCGTCGGTAACGAGTATTCAAAGAATTCTGTGGCCATCAGTAGACGTGCAAGGGGGCAAGCATCATTGTAGGTCTATGTATAGTATTCATTGTACAACAGAACTTTCCTGAATACGAAATTTAATACACCACAACTTGTGCATGGGTGTATTGTGAGTTCCCTAGCGCTTGATGTCGATGGTTCATTAGTCATATGGCTGGGCCTGAACCCGCGTTGATAGAGTAGAGTATCTACCAAGGGCCGCTTCCTCGGAACACCTTTCGAGTCGGATACTCATTCATACAACAAGCACTCTTTTCTGAGATTCGTCGAGGACGTTCTGAAAATACCCAGAGGCGTCTTAATTGTCGCGGTGTCTAGGGCAGTAGGGACTTTGCTTTTAGATATTCGGTACAGAAGTGCATATGGGCAGATTTCAAATTCTTTTTCTCTGTTATTCCTCGTAGGTGAAACATAATGCCCCCAAATAAGTAACCGTGTTTCATTTATTTTAAAATTATGCTATTGCTTATACTACAGGCTTAATGTTTGACAATATTTATATAAACTGTATGTTTGCTGCCATAGACGTTAATTCAAACTGATTTATTCCACTAAGTTTGTATTGAATGCGCCTTCCTGGCGCTGACAAATATAAATTCTAAAGTTAATGCAGTGCAATCTGAGCGGCTATTATAAGGTCTCCTTAATTCCTGGGACTCATTGTACGAATGCGCACACTTCCCACATAATGTTTAAGACCGTATACAGATAGAATCATTATTGTCATCGATGGTTTTTTCGATATATTTCAATTTTGCTTTCACGACTAGCTTGCACTTATGTGGTAGTTACATTTGTGCCACTGTGGCTATTCATATGCCTTTTACTTATGACCTTGAAATTCAGGATTTGGATTGTTTGGCTCGTCGAAGCGGTCGTTTCTACAAAGCAAAGTTTTCCCAACTCAGAAGTCAAAGAGAACAAAGTAAGTTGGTACAGTTTTAATGCAAAAAAGGGAATTTACAAAAAACTCTGACAAGCGGTAGCTTCCAGCCGTGTCTTCAAATAAGTTGTGTAATTCCATGTTCGCTATTGGGATTACAGGACTCCGGGGCGTGTCCTCCGTCGCCTGCGGCTTACGTGCGCATTAAGCAGCAGACTAACCGGGAACGTGAGGCGACCAAGTAAAATCTGGCCTCCAGTACCGATTGACCAAGAGCATGTATGGGAGATTATCAGGCACGAGTATTCAGGGTTTGGCAAGTGAACACAAAATGATTCACCGAAATGACGCTGAGCGCGGAGTGCCACAGGCCTGCGGACTGTTTAGGATGCTTTCCTTTTTCCGCCAACTAATTTCGTTGCATTGTGCTTTTAGCACTGCTTGCCGCTACAATTTTTTAAACCACATGAGACCTGCAAATATATGTTTATTATGCCAGTTTACAGGCAATTTTAAAGAGTTGGTGAAGCACCTCTTGGGCGGCTTCCAAAACCTCGATACAGGCAATTGTAAAGAGTTGGTAGTGCACCTCTTGGGCGCCTTCCAAAAACCTCGAAGACCCCGAAAAAACCTAAAACAAACTCCCTCTTTTGCAGCCAGTGTTGGTTTTATTTCCATTTTGTGTTTTCTTAATACTGGGCAAAATAGGGAGTTTGTTTCAAGTGAAAAAAACCTGCTTTGAAGGTACGATACAAACGGAATATATGTTCAGTTGTAAACTAAGTTGACACATCAGTAGGAGAAAAGTTGCATATCGTTTAGGGACATTAGATCGGGACGGGAAGGGTTGGCACAAGAACACATTGTTCTTAGTCTTCCTTCAATGTTTGTCGGCAAAAGTTGCGCGCTGTCGGCTGAAGGGT